GTGGGGGAATGTAAACACGTGTATGCACGTGGGGGAATGTAAACACGTGTATGCACGTGGGGGAATGTAAACACGTGTATGCACGTGGGGGAATGTAAACACGTGTATGCACGTGGGGGAATGTAAACACGTGTATGCACGTGGGGGAATGTAAACACGTGTATGCACGTGGGGGAATGTAAACACGTGTATGCACGTGGGGGAATGTAAACACGTGTATGCACATGGGGGAATGTAAACACGTGTATGCATATTGTCATTGCTTAAGTGCTAGAATCTTTGCATTTCAGTCGGATTCTATATGTGTAGAAGTCATCATTGTTTAGTTAATACGATAATATAAATGTTTCATAGATAAAAAAAAGAATATTAAAAGACGAATACATTCTCAGAAAGTTAAAACACTGTACAAATGTAATCGATTGATTTTCCCCAAAACAAATGTTTGAAGCGCGGCTCCACCAGTGCGTCATGGGAAATGTAATTTGCATGGTCCGCCCAGTTGTTTACTTGGTACACAGCTGTTATCATTTCAACCGAAGGTGTTAATTTCATAAGCTAACACCATGCTTGACGCTATTATTCGATTTGGAAGGACTTATTTAAATCGCGTTCAACGATCACAGGGACCCGCAATCGATAAATAATAAATGCGCAATCTTTTTAAAGCAGTTTTCTTACTTGCATTATAGAGTTCCTTATTTAGTTCCGTACTTTCAATGAAAACTGTGGTTTATTTGAATGGCATACACAATGTATAGTATCGCATAGTACAACGTTTGCCGTTTGTAGTTAACGATATACAATTATTGATTGTTATGTGTCCCCCATTGTTTGTATGTTACAGATAGTTCCTGTCACTTCAAGTTATGGCACCATTGAATAGCAGCTGGTCTCCTACCACGTCGGCGATGGCGCTGTTTTCACAAAACTTTATCTTAAAACTCTCGACGGAATGGTACAGCAGCCGGTATATAAATGCTGGTTCTATTCTGGTCTTTATTCTTCTTTTAAAACACTGAAGTGCGTCTGTAGGTTCCAGATCTTTTAGCTTATTGTATCGTGTAATGTGTGTAGCTACGTTTGCAGTATTCAGCACCTAGCACAAGAGTCAGTATGTTGATAATGCACGTTTCTTCCTGGGTGGACCCAGTAAGAACCGGTATATTCTCGGAGTGGACATCCGGGCATTTTCACCGCCTTGCAACCGTGAAGGTGTAAACAAAGGCCGAAAACTATCAGAAAACGGTACTTTGGGATGGTTGCTGAGACTCCCCTGAACAGTGTAACAAGCTTTCCTCTGCATTTCCAACATATATAAATTTGGTTGTCCAGGATTACTTCAATATAGATTTTGTGCTGTTTTTTCAAATTTAGCTATTTTTACCGTCTTTCCACACCAGCTCGCGCAGAAATACGTGGTACAGTGGTGTGCGTATTGGGACGTCTTGTGACGTAGCTCCGCCCCTGAGGATAGAACGTGGTATATTTCAGGTTAGGTTATACCCTTAAGTGTTTCAAGCAAGCTAAGGGTACCCGCCTAGCTAGGGCACTCTAAAATGTGCACCAGGTCATCTGTATTGTTGCAGAATGGTCATTTGTCCGAATTACGAAGAACGATTTGTGTAAAAAAAAGCCACCCGCTGGATTAGCACCATGCAACATACGACACTGCAAATCACCATTTTTTAAAGTATGGGTGTTATATAAGTGTCAAGGAAGTTTGGTTTAATATCTGGTGGAAACGACATATTGTTCCAAGCAATACCATAATAGGCATCTTGATTACTATTTAAATGTTATAGACATATTAGAAATTTACCAAGAGGATTTTTTTTCGAATTTGTAGAGTAGGCGTACTAATATATAATTTCAAAATAATATTTAATATCCAGTTATTTATGGTCATCGGGTTTGAGACCACCATTCAGTACGTACTTCCATTTTGATGGAATTGCTCGTTTTGCAACATCAAGCGCTATTTTTAAAATTCGCATTGAATAGATGGGAACAAGGTCGTGATGATATTCGCATTCGAGCCAGTAATTGTCATTAACCAAGTGTCAAATCTGGTAATTCCTGTTTCTTTAAAGTGTACAAGGTTTGACAGTGTTCTTTGTATATTATGCAATGTGAAAGGGAAAGTCAAAGCTAACAACATAGTACTCCCTGATAAAAGAGCTCCACAAATGTAGGAGAATGCAACTTACAGTTTTTTTATATCAATTTTCATTATCTAGATACTCAACATTTCATCAGTATTAAGTAGTCAGCCATCTTGATTCTCGAGCAAAGGATTATGGGTAAAGTATGACATAATAGAATCTGTTGTCAGAAATTGAGAAAATGATTTCAACTATAACATGAGAATACTGATGCAAATTAGTTCAAATTTTCGTTGTACATTTTACTCATGTATATAATTATAGTAATGGAAATTAAAAAGTTAAAAATACACATAAAGTGACAATATTACCAAAACATGATAAATATAATGACACTTTTTTTTGTTCCCTTTTAATATTCAACAGGTTTTGAAAAAAAGCGGTTCTTGACAGATTTTGTTAAAAGTATCTGGTCTGCATTTCAATATTATTCCTAGTAAATGCCATATTCGCAACTGATCACGATAAAATAATGGAATATTGGTGATAATTTTTGCAGGGTCAGTTACAAATATTTGTTTATCATAGTTAAGGTTTTGTATCTGTTGCAGGAAGAAGATAGTGAGTGTAAATCAAAGATGGGGAAAACTAGAATAGAGATGGCGTTGAGCATAATTAACTAGAAATGCGAGTGTGAAGGTTAATCGGGCCTTGGCCACCTTAACTGACAGAAAGATAAACAATCTCTTTGCGAATCGAGTGACGATCACTCCAGAAAAAAACGTTTTTGAAGCTTTTTAGTTGGACACAGAGATACAAATCTTATTTACCACTATAGTGCGCCCTCTGTAGGACATCTTGGGTGCATATTTCCCTATCGTTCAAGTTTAGCTCTAGTAGTGTTGACCATGTCAGACCACTCTCTATCAAACAAAAGTAAGAGCTATTACAAATATATGTGCTAAGAACCTTTAGACCTTCATTAATCCAGCTGATATTAAGTCACGTGGTGTGTCTTTGCACGCATTACTTGCGTTTTCGCATACACGCAACCATTGACTTAGTTTGTGAAAATCACTGTTATTCGTTATGAACAAAGTAATGTCATCAGTGTATGCTTGTACACTTGTATTCACATGGAGACTTGTATTCATGCAGAAAACGTAAACCACACACCTTGTATTTGTATGGAGATTGTATACCATGCACCAGTATTCATATGGAGAATCCAAACCACGCACTTGTATTTATATGGAAAATGTAAACCACACACTTACGGTACTCGTATTGAGAATGTAAACCACTCACGTGTATTCATATGGAGAATCCAAATCACGCACTTGTATTTATATGGAAAATGTAAACCACACACTTACGGTACTCGTATTGAGAATGTAAACCACTCGCGTGTATTTATATGGAGAATACAAACCACACACTTATATTAATACGAAGAATGTAAACCACACACTTATATTAATATGAAGAATGTAAACCACACACTTGTACTTGTATGGTGATTGCAAACCTTACACTTGTATTAATATGAAGGATGTAAATCACTCTTGTATTCGTATGGGGATTGTAAACCACACACCTGCATTCATACTGATAATCTAAAGAATTTAAGCCACGCACTTATGAAGAGTGTAAACAGCGCACTTATATTCATATGGAAAATATAATCCGCCCGCTTGTATTTATTTAGATATTGTAAACCACACAATTGCTTTGGTGTGAAGATTGTAAACATTACACTTGTATCTATATTGAATGTGTAAACCCTTGCTTGTCTTCGTATTCGTATGTAAACAGACACACGTGTTTAATATGGAGATTGTAAACGGACACACGTGTTTTAATATGGAGATTGTAAACGGACACACGTGTTTTAATGTGGAGATTGTAAACGGACACACGTATTATAATAAGGAGATTGTGAACGGAGACACGTATTTTAATATGGAGATTGTGAACGGACACACGTGTTTTAATATGGAGATTGTAAACGGACACACGTGTTTTAATATGGAGATTGAAAAAGGATACACGTGTTTTAATATGGAGATTGTAAACGGACACACGTGTTTTAATAAGGAGATTGTAAGCGGACATACGTGTTTTAATATGGAGATTGTAAACGGACACACGTGTTTTAATATGGAGATTGTAAACGGACACACGTGTTTTAATATGGAGATTGTAAACGGACACACGTGTTTTAATATGGAGATTGTAACTGGACACACGTGTTTTAATATGGAGATTGTAAACGGACACACGTGTTTTAATATGGAGATTGTAAACGGACACACGTGTTTTAATATGGAGATTGTAAATGGACACACGTGTTTTAATATGGAGATTGTAAACGGACACACGTGTTTTAATATGGAGATTGTAAATGGACACACGTGTTTTAATATGGAGATTGTAAACGGACACATGTGTTTTAATATGGAGATTGTAAACGGACACACGTGTTTTAATATGGAGATTGTAAACGGACGCACCAGATGTCACAGGCTACGTAATGCTCTAAAGTGCCTGGACAATAGAGGCGACCCGACCGACAACGACTTAGAACTTGATCTTCCCGTGCTTGCAATGGCAGAGGTACTTGGTCGTGGGTAATATGGTAGTACACTTAGATTGGCCCAGTGGTAGATATGACGATTGAAAAACTTGGTTGATTGGTAAACTTTTCAAAATAGACGAGAATGACTAGGTTGGTGGCCAGATATATGGTATGTGATCATGTTAATGCCTCATAGGCAGGTTCTACGAGTAAAGGTATATGTTTACAACTGTAAACACATCCTAATTCCTATAATCTTCCTAAGACAAACTGCAAACTTTTTGTGTGTGTTGAGATTTGTTATACAAAATAAATCATGACACAATGATATATATAAGAAACAGAATTTAATAAGTACAACTTTGCGTAGTCTGGGGTTAAACTCGTCGCCTGAGGCAACATTCCGCGTGTACTGGTGGTTAGATCGATTATCCGGGGATCATCGGTCCGACACGCTCAGTTAGGTGAAAATAGAGAGGTTCAATTTTAGACTGATTGAGTCAGGGTTGACATTTGACTACACAGAGTTATCGATCAAAATTAATGAACACCAGATAACAATCAGGTGTTTAATTAAAACTGACGTTGGATTCAATTCGACTCAAAAAAAGGTAAGTTTTCTACTTTGTACGGAAATCAAGTTCGGAATCGGACTTCAGTTTGAGGAGTTGCGCGATTTGGTAAGTCTACCGTGATGCTGCGTAATAGTGAGCTGCTGAAACTAGGTTACCCGTTCATGAAGCTTACAGCAACAACGAGAATAGCGATGAGGCGGAGTCTTCAAATTGCTTCCACGGTCGCTATCCCGATCAAAGTCAATTTAAACTTGTTTGGCGATTCTCCGGGTGGATGTAGGCTGTGGGAATTACCGCCAAGGGAACATGGTAGCGAAATTTGGCATACAGGCACTAGTCTAAGATAAGCAACCTGTCACCTGACTGTTGGTTCTCAATACAAACATAACTCATTCCAACTACAAGATACGCTATGCTGTGATTTACAGATGCAAGGAAGATCGCTATACGGGGTAGAATCACCGCTTCACAATCACCGGGGAATCTCGCACGTCCTACTTCCATAAACCTCTCTTAGTACAGTCAGTGCGTTGGTGCCTGGCTTGACATTGACGTTTTCCGCAGTAATAATTTAGGCCAAGGGAATTTGAGACTTATTGATCAGTAGAAGACAGCTAGTTCAATCAATAATATGATACAGTCATATCGCGCATATAGGAAGTATATTGTTGTAGAACTATTTTCTTTTTACTTCAATTCTCATCTGGGGTTTTCACCTCCATTTTGTTGACACCAGCGCTGGCACATACTATTCTGGTCGGGAACAATGAAGGCGTGTTTCCATCGAGTATTTGAGAGTAGACGTCAGTACGTTGAAACACCCACCGGGTATAATCTATGTCGTCACGGTAGTGAACAGTGGTGATTAGTTATAACCATAAGAACATTCTAAAAATAATGCTCGGATGCGGGTGATTAGGCTAGAATTGGACAACTTTTTTTGGCGGGAAAACATTAAAGTAACTTAATTTGCATAAAGACACTGCATCTAAAGACAATTTTCTCAGAAAAAAAAACTGAGCATTTCATCTTAACCAGTAAACGAAAATAAACCCGTCCCAAAAACATCTAGCTATTTCCTCTATAAACATAATGGTTTGACTCCGACGGATCTGTTTTTTTAATGGTTTTGAGATAGGTGACAGCCAGTCAAGCCCGGGTCTTCTAAATGTTACGTCATAGCGGCTTTTTTTCGCACTGAGCGGCGGGTAAGGTCCACTTTTTGTACAGATCTTGTCTTACTGCGTCAAAAACATATTTTAGAGCAATTAGGAATATGTTTCAGCGGAACCATTTCCATGAGAGCTCGCTATAATTCAAACTGTACACAGTGGTCAGGCAGGGGGTGTTATTGCTTTAGGGCCTTACATTTCATTTTACCCAAAACAACTAACGAAAGCAAATAGTTTATATAATTTATTAAGTTGTTGTTCGTGAAAAAAGGCAAAGGATCGTACCCTCACGTACCCTCACGTACTTGTAGCTGTTTGTAGTAAGTTTTAACTCAGAGGTTTTAACGCAACCAGTTTATTCGTTTGCCATCTAATCTAACTTAATTTTGCGGCTTTTTTGACCTCCCAACACAATTGTACAACTGTTTACATTTCAGTACCTAAAGACACAAGTCCGGCGCCGTGGGCCACAATTATCCAGCATTGTGTGTTATTCAGATGGCCATTACATATATAATTATTATCAGTAACCATCGTTTACTTTTTGAGGGACATTATCTCTATGTAGCAGTTGATGTTATTAGTAACGCAACTGTGAGTACCTGGGTAAATTAGCGGCGGTGAGCATGACATCCGTCCGTTGGTAATACACGTGAAAAGAAGCTAATAACCTGGACTGGCCCAATCGTGGCAATTTTATTGTTTTATATGATAATTCCACAAAGAAAGAAGCGGAATTCAATTTCTTTTAAAAACGAATTATAAAATTACCACGGCTGGGCAGGGCTATTAATATCCGTCCGAACTCAGTCTGGTTAAAATAGAGAGCGGTTCTAGGCCGCCGGTGTACGCCGAATCTCACTTCGCGAGACCAAATGACTATGCAAGTCGCGCTCAAGCAGCTTTCCCCTGATGGATTTTTTTCACCGGATTACAGTGTTTTATCGAAAACGGGTTGTAACACAAGTTCTGATTGGTTGCCGATCCGTGCGCAACTTCGCCGTGTGATAAGTAAGATTATGAACTCGATTAGTAGTTTATGCGTCAATTACAATTGCAACTTTTTCCACACGAACATTTTTTTTTATATCGAATACTTGCAAAAACACTACTGCAAAATACACTTAGACATGTTTGCGGAATATATATGGGGATTTTTATATATTCAAAGTGAAGTACGAGAAACACTCGACCAATTGAAACGAGTGTCACTTTGTTCTAGCCGTTTGCGCACATAAATACGTTGAACTATGCTATACATGTCACTGGTTTCCATTTTGAACGTCAACGACATTACATCGACGCATAGTTAACTATATGCATTTTTTTGTTATCTTGGAATCCGAATAATCTATTTCATTTGAATTTGTGTTACTCTTGCAAGTCTATTTTGCGAATATTCGTCGCGTCTGCGTTTCGTTTCACCACAGAGGGCGGTCTGAAAATAAAGTACAAGTTTTCGCAGCGCGTGTTCCAAATTCATGTAAATAAACAATATATTTTTTACGCGTTGTATACGTCGGGTATCTGCCGTATTAGAACAGATACACATTTTTCTCAACCTGCATCTGCATGTATGAACTGCTTTCTCCGCCCTCTACGGTCACTATTATAATACTTTTGTTTTTATTAACCGTGTTTTACCCCAAATCGCCATGCATCTGGTATATCTAATATAGCAATAATTGTATCATTCACGAATTTTGCACAATCCGTTAAAATAATTCCCGACTTGGTACAGTAAAACTTGTCCTTGATTATCGAGTTATACCGGTCATGCCGAGTTACTGGTCGTTGACAAAGGTAAACAACAACATATCATACAGAAGTTAATCCCTTTGTTGCCAAGTAAGTTTTACTAACAATGGCGACGTGATTATGCGTAATGATATTCATTTGACATTGTTCGAGATGGTTGTATATCGTGCGTGTAAATCGCTGAGATGAGACCACTTTAAAGTTCGTAACCCAGCTTCTAGATGTCAGGGTAATTATTTAACTCGTTTGCCCATATGCAGGTGCGTTTGGAGAAGTCAGTGAGCTATTTGAAACAAAGACAAAAATACACCCATGCTTTTAACATTCTTCCTATCGAATATCAAGAGGACTGTCTTTTACATGCCAGACAATACACACAGCTTCGTTTGCCCACCGATGTGCTGATGGCCACATAACATCTTTATTTCCGACCCACTTCACACTATACAAGGTTCTTTAGAACTCTCTTCGCGGTGACTAAACTTATTTTGCGCGGCTGCGACAAAAAAGGAACCCAAAGCGGTGCTGGTGAAAAGGTTGCCCAGTGTATTATAGAGAGTATAAGCCACTTCACACGTACATATCTTGATAACAGTTTATTTCAAGGGGTCAGGTCTGGCAGTGATCTGGACACTGACGGGCATATTACTACAATTTGCTCGGTCGTTCACTACGCGGACATTTTAGGATTTTTTTGGAGACATACTCAAGCGCTTGACACCTTATCGATTTTACCAATTCTCGCCGTCTTATGGTTGTAGCTGGTATAAGCATGTGACGATGCATTTAACAGATGTGACTTTATAATATAACGGTAGGAACCTCAGCTTCATTTTGCTTATATCAGCCAGGGCTGACCCGATTGCCTGATTAGTTTTCTTCAAATCTAACAATACTGCTTCACGTCATAATACGTAGATACACCACACCAGAGCACGCCATAAGACAACACATCTCACCACACCACGTCACGTAAAGAGTCAACCGGGATAAAACACAATGTGCCTGTCATGCAATATAGTAGACTCAAGAATGAGTAAAAAGCGATAAAATCACCCCAAACATGTTGAATCGCTCTACTCCATCACAATCTAGTTAAAATCGGATGTACTGCACTGCGTTTTTTTAATCACATAAACTATTTGTACATATATTTGTTATGTTGTTTTAATTATTATTACGCACACCTTGCTTTAGCAATTACAACTTCAACAAAATAGCCAACAAATAAATAATAAATTTAGATAAAATTAAATTAAGTACATTAAGTAAAAACAATTAAGTACATATTACAAAAAATAGAAAAAAAACAACAACACACAAAATAAAGCCGAAAATACGATTTTATTTGAATCAGATTACTCCATTGCATATTTCAAAACTATATTATTTATTTATTGTTTACAACATTGTTTACAACCTTGTTTACAACCTTGTTTACAACATTGCTTGATTTTAAAAGTGAAAAGAAGTTTGCGTCTTTATTATTTGCTGAAAGTGTTTTTGAATGTCAACAATAGAAATGGAAAATGTAAATAATACCCCAATTGG